CATATGAATTGTTACCCAATAATAAATCAAGTCAGCCAATTCTCTCGTCCCTTTTTTTCTTTCCAGCAAGACAAACAAATATTCCTTTTATTGTTTATATATATATTTATATAGCTTATATATATATGTATATCAAACAGGCAGACCCCATCCCTTTCGTTTTTTTTTTCCCGCCGTCTGTGGCATTTTTCGCACCGTAGCCCAATGAGAAATATTTCAATGTGAAAATCACCGAAAAAAAATAAAGGGAAAAACGTGAGCAGGCTCCCCAGGTTATGCGGTCCATGATCATCATTTCATTTCAATTCGCTGTCCCAACTGGAAGAGACGGCAATTTTCTAAGAAAGACGAAGCGCATACCGAGGAGCCAAACGATTCCAGATTGGCTCCAACTTGGTGTTTCAGAAATATGTGCAAACAATTACGTGCTTCGAGAGAACGAAAACGAGATCTTCGCCTGGCCATATCCATCCATCCATCCCGTCCGTCCGTCCATCTCTCTGTCTGTCTGTCTGTTTGTATTCTGTTTTTTTTTTTTAGTTCTCTGATTTTCGTCAATTAGAATGAGCTGGGCTCCTTAAAGGAAGCTGTGAATGTGCGAAGATTTCTTTTATACAAGTATATTCCTGGCCCCTACTTGGGCTTCTTTTTTTGGAAGCCCTCGAACCATCAACGGCAGCTAAAATTAATATACCCGCGATAACTCAACATCAACATCAGGCCGGGGCCATGGAGATGGGAAGTACACTTGCATATATTACTATTGTTAGTTGGTTAGATTAAAAAAGGTTTTTTTTTTAGAAAATAATTGGGACTAAAAAATCAAAACAATACAAAATGTTGCCTTGAAACTAAAGGTTTCCGACCAAAAAAAAAACAGAAAATACCAAATTTAAAGACCTTTTTTGGAAAAATAAAAATTTTAAAAAAATATAAGAAATAAAAATAGATCTTAAAAACTGTGTCAAATATAATAACTTTTAACTTTCTTAAGTTTATCCATTTCGAAACATAAAAGAAGCTGAAACAAAAACAAGAAAATCTTTCTAAAAAATTAAAGATACTTTTTTGCATTATAGATTTCATTTTAGTTTAAAAACTTTTCCTGGTACTTCTGATAACCACAGATTACTTTTAATAATCAAAGAGCTTATTAATTTAATAAACCATTTTTTTAAGTGCTGTTTTCCTCTCCGAACCCCCTGCTATAAACCCCTTACCAAACTTCTTTTGCAAATTTCTGCCCCACGTTCCAACATCCTGTTTCGTGCCGTTCATCTTGTCTCTTCAATTGTTGTTGGCCCCTTCTCTTGGTTGCTTTTGCCATTGTTGTTGTTGTTGTTTTTATTTTAGTTGTTGTTGGTTGTTGTTGTTGCTGTTGCAGTTAGTGCTGTTGTTGTTGTTGTTGGCAGCTAGTTAAGCAGTTTCGCGTAAACGTTTTTCCAATATGAGTTTCGGTTTGGAACGAAAAGCGGAGGGAACTCGGGCTGTTTCGCTGGCCTGTGTGTTTAGGCTGTCTACAGGGTTGTTATTTTAAAATTAGCACTTTGATTTAAGTTGTCTACACTCTTGGCGGCCCGTCTCTAGTTGGCCAAAAAGCCCCAAGACTTGGGCCCCAACTGCAACAAACTCCAGCTGCATTTTTTTTTTTGCGTTTCGTTTTTTAGCCAAGGTGTTGAACAGCTGAGTGAAGGGTAAAAGGGGTGATGGAAGTACGAGAGTCTCAACTTGTTGATTGCCGCCACAAAAAGGTTGAAGGTTAGGGCAAGATAAACTGTTGTTGATGGTGCCCAGAAAGCCATTATCCACATATCATCGCCGGATGATTTCAGATGTGTTGCAATGCAATGTTTGCGGGGGATCAACGGCTTGGTTCGTTCGTATCCCACACCGCCCGATGATTATGCTGATGGCTCGGACAGTTCCTGGGAGTCGAAATGCCACAAGATGATGCCCTGTTGAATGATTTCGGTTGTGGCATTCGTTTCCTGGTTCCCAATTTATATTAGTCATGGCTTTCTCTAGTATTTTCTATAACAACAACCATTGTTAAGACCAATAACATCTGGCTAATAAATAAGTTGAGCAGCGGATCTTGGTTATTTATTTTATTTAGCTCATGGGGAAAACTATAAAGTTCACACCTGTTATGGCTTGGCTTTGGTAATTTTCAATCGCTTGATGTTAAGTTTATTTTCGGATATTTTCTGACATTAACTGCTGATTTTTTAATTCATTTTCTTAATGACCAAATTTTCTTCTTCTAACACGATTTTGGTGTGTTTTCCTAATAGTATTTTTTGTGAAATTATTTTTAATAATTTTTCTAGCTAAATTAAAATTGAATTATTTAAATATATCTTTTTAATATTAAACATAAATATATATTTCGTAACACGATGTTTTTATTTGAATGTAACAGCCGTTGTTTCTCTCGTTTCTATTTGAATGTCCCGTTTCTAGTTGGTTTACAGTTTGTTACTTTCTTATGTTATGCTAGTGAGAGTACGAGCAGATAATGTTAAAGAGGTGGGAAGAGTAAGTGTGACAAAGCTTTCTATTACTGTACATGGTCCCTTGAGTTGTTTAGTAAGTGAGAGTGAATGGGATGACAATAGTGATGGAGACGAAATGCGTAGCTGAGAGGAAGCGAAGAAAAGAACAGTTAGTAAGCAAGTCGCCAGGAGCAAGCTAAACGGAAATAGTTTTGTGCTTTAATTTTTTTTCTTCAACAACACAAACATTAACCCGAACAACAACACCAAAAATATAAACGAGAGTATAAAGCCAGACTTAACACATATTTATATTGTATAAGTTAAAATAACTTTTATGAACTAATAGATTTTCTAAGAAAATGATATTGAAAATGTCCTAACAACGTGAAAATGCTTATAAATTGTCTCTACCATATACATAGGTGCTTATTTTTTAGATGGAACCAACCAATTACTTCAACTAGGGCCATTCACAAATCACTATGCAATCATGCAACATTTTCCGTAGTCTCCATTATCAGTGCAACTTCCTAGTCGATGTACGCACATTGTCGAGTCCGCTATTCCATTGAGTTGATTAACCCAGAGGCATGTCTCCCCTTTTCGGGTCGGCTATATCGCATGGCCATGTCTTGGCCAGAATAAGGGGTTTTAGCCAAGTGAGAAAGAGCACGTCGCTACGTTCTGAGGCGCCAGCGTTGAAAGAACCGCATCTGCGGCAATTACGTTCGTTGGAGCTCTGAGGAGAAGAGCATCACGTCTCCGGTTCTTAGGCCTTAAGATCGCTGATTCAGATGGAGATCGAGATTGAGATCGAGATCGAGATGTGGTCGCAGTTGCTAATCAACTCGTTTATCGGCTTGGAGACTGGCCAGCGTAATCAATCATTGGCCAGATATACAAGCGTGTGGATCGAGCTTATCTGATCCGTAGTTGGGGACTCTCGACTGGCACGTAAATCGCTTCCGGCGGACTTCGAAACTGGCTCTTATCACGGGTCTAATTAAAATCATTAAAAAATCATCTTAAACATACAGTTGGTATTATATATATATATGTAATATATAAGGATAAGGAGTATGTACTTTACACATCAAATTTACACTCCGTTAACCCAGTTCCACTTACGGAATTTTGACTGTAAAACGAAATGAAATGACGTGAAATGACGATGGGCATTAAAATGCATTCGAATCGGAACACATTTCAATACTAATCAGAGCAATGGCCGGACAATGGGACTGTGGCAACACCGAATGCCCATGCATTTTTAATGCCCCATTTTGTGGCCGGAAGGAAGCGCAACACGTAAACGTGTTAATATGGACAGCACAATCTATTAATTTGTCAACAATAAAGTAAGACAACCGACAGGCGACATCGTTCCCGAATGGAGAGAGAGCATTGATTGGAGTCACCACCACCATTCCACTACTAACCAGGATGATGATGGGGGGCTCTTCGACTGGACTGGAAGTAACTGCCCCAACTTTTGGTAAGGAGAGATGAAGAAGAAGGAGCAGGAGTAGGAAGGGGCTTTCAGGTTGTTGTCAGCACAGCAGGTACGAAATTAATATGCGAGCAACAATTAAGATAAGCGCGCAAAGTTGTGAAGTGACTGCTGCGAGGAGGGCGCAGTCGGTGGCCCCAATTGAGGTTGTCCGGCGACCACAACAGCAGCCGCCAATGACTAAGGCGACAACAAGCTGGTGGCAAGTTGGGGGAAAAAAAAACTCCACACACAGTTAAGATAACACTAAAAGAAAATGTATCTTAACTTAACAAGGGAAGTAGATACTTTTTTTTCAATTTGGAATTTTGGTTTTTTAAAAAACACAAAACTTGGAAACTAAATAAGCTTTCTTAAAGGTTTTTCGAGCCCTTAAATATGACTAAATAAGACTCTTATTTTACTAAATTTGTAATAAAATAACCAATTTTCTTTCAGTGCAAAAAGAAAACCAAAAGAGAAGCGATCTCGATCGCACTTCGCCGACTGTGCTTCCTCTCACAACCAGACTCTGCGGTAGCCCATAAGAAAAATATCAAAAAAAAAAGGCAACCAAAGCTGCGAAAATATTTTATACAAGTTGAAAAAAAATTTAACCACATCCATTAAGCAAGACCTTGATGACAAACGGCGGCAAGTCTTTCGTGCGATAATAATAAGTATTCATTTCAGATATAATTTCTGTCGCTTCTTCTCTTTGACTTCGTTTTTTTTGGTTATTTTTGGCATGCCCATACCCTATAATAAAAATTGAAGTTACCCTTTCGCTGATTGCCGATTATATTTTGGGTGGAATGTTTATATTAAATTAATGGCGGTAGTGGTGGTAGCTGTTAAGAATTTCAGCTTAAATTGATTTTCTTTTGCTGATATAAAACAGATTCTTGAATATGGCAAAGTGTTTGGGAAAGGTTTAAAAATATTCAAAGTTATATATAAAACTATTACCTATCATTAAATATTATAAAAAAAAAGAAATAAAAACACAAAAGTTTTTCATGTTCAATATATTATAATGACTGCTTGCAATCTGCTGGACAAGTTTTCATTGTTAGTTTAAGATGCGTACTTAAAGTACTCCTCCTTTCCGGTTGCATCAGCCTTCATGGCCTTGGAACCCGGACGCCAATTGGCCGGGCAAACCTCACCGAATTCATCACTAAACTGAAAGGCCTGAACCAGACGCAATGCCTCATCCACACTGCGACCCACGCCCACATCATTAACGGTGATTTGACGTATACGACCCTCACGATCGATAATGAACAAGGCCCGTAAAGCCAGTCCTGTGGCCTCATCTAGTACTCCATAGTCCCTGGCTATCTTCATGTTCTTGTCAGCCAGCAATGGTATATCCAACTCCCCAAGACCACCACTCTTACGTGGTGTATTCATCCAGGCGCAGTGTACATAATGACTATCCGTGGAACAGGCCAACACTTCACAGCCAATGTTACGAAATTCCGGTGCTCTGTCACTAAACGCCTGCAATTCGGTTGGGCAGACATAGGAAAAGTCAGCCGGATAGAAAATTAAAAGGACATATCTGCCACGTAAATCCGATAGGGAACAGCTACGGAAGCCACCAGATATCACTGCTTCGGTCGAAAAATCCGGAGCCACTTGATTAATATTCAGCATACGCATCTTGACGGGTTTTTGTTCTATTATTTTAGTTTATTTTTTAGTTAGTAGTAGTTGTAAGTTATGTTCGGTTCTCAGATATGTTAAGGAATGATAAAGCTCAGAGTTATTTTGTTAGGCTTACTAGGTGTTATGATTTGTTACCAAAAACAAGAAAATCTAAACAAATTCATAAGGGTAAACCTCCCCCCCTTATAATTCAATTTCAAACACATTTCCCACAACTACATGATAGAATAAATCATTTTCCGTTGATTCATATTTCGATAATCATTGCCGTTCGAAATTCGTTTAAATTTCTGTTCATTTGCCACTCGAATTTCCAGCTCATATCTAACCGACAATCGTAACACGATCAGCCCCAATTAGAGGGTCCTTTTGGCCAACATAAACCGAAACGCAATCGATTAAATTGAATTCAATTCAATTATGTGAATGTTGAGGGGGCTTCTACATACTGCCTATATGTAACTTCCACCTGCTGACTGGCTGGCTGGTTGGTTGGTTGGTTGGTTGGATAAATGGGCGTGTGAAATGATTGTTGTGTTAATTTCGCATATGACACCTTTCAGCCAACACGTGGAAATTTGAGCATTTTTGTGCGGTTTATTGGCTTTGATCGATTGAAGGCGTCGGATTTTTCTTCTCTTTTTTTTGCATCTACATAAGCCAGTCATACGGGTCGAGTTACTTGACAGCTCATTCAGTGCGGTCTGTCCAGCTTGTTCCTTGTTTTTTTTTTTTAGCATATGTTTTAATGCCAATGAAATATTTGGAGGCGATTTAGCAGCACGTCAATTACCGCTGGCCACCTGATGACAGTTGCAATTAAAACCAGCAGTTGGAAGAAAAATAGGAGAAAAAAATACAAAAAAAAAAAACACGAAAATGCGGGGAAAATAGTTGCCAGTCAACATGAATGGATGTCTGTTAATAGACATGTAAACTGCAATTAAAACAAGCTAAAAAAGGGGAGGAGCCACAGCCGGGTAGCAGTGGGGGGAGGGGCATCCAAAATATTTTGACTTAACCAACTAACATGGCTTGCTGTCTTGGTCTTTTCTTTAATTAAAATATTTAAGCACGCAAATAGGCCTGTCTCTCCATCTGTCTGTATAGTTGGCCAACTATACCAGTCAAAGCCCCTATATCTCCTCGTTTCCTGAAGATCTGCGGGAAAACTCAACTGGGCGTGTCCATTTTGGTAGTATTGGAGTAGGGAACATGGTGCTGCCGTTGTGCGGCTTTAATCAAAGTTTTTGCCAGCGGGGAATCAATCATTTGAAATTTAAACGTCATCGTGCGTCAGACAACTCATAAGACAAACCAACAGTAACAGCGGGCGAACCAGCCCAGGTTTCTACACGATTCGAGATGAAAACGTGAGGGTCGACAATTGGCAAGTAATTAATATAAATGTTGGGAAAATTTATTAATATTTAAGAAAGAAAGTTATTAAAATTAGGTTTTTAAAAATGTCCCTAAAGGGTATTTAGAAATGTGCATTAAAATTATGATTTTCTGATATTTAAATTCTTAAAAAAAACTTCCATGATGTTGATTTAATTTTTATAATAAAACTAAAATATTTCCACTCTTATTTGATTCAATTTATTTATAAATAGTTAACATTTTCTTAAAAATATTTTCTAAATATTTATTTTAAGGTGTTAATATATATTTTTTAACCTGTTTTGTTTAAGTAAAAAAATCTTAAGCTTACTTTTTTGATCAAACTATTTGCCCAGAATTTGGCTGTTTTTTGGCTTTCAATAACTTTTCAAAAATCTAACAAAAATATCCAACATTTTCCTTCAAATTTGGTAAAACTTATCTCCTATATCTTCGTGTCACGATCTGCAAAATCCATAACCATTTCCATCCCCAACACCAGCTTGAATGCGAATGTGGCGTGTCCGAGTTTTTAGCGAGTTGCCTCCCAGATGAAGAAAAAATCAACCAAAACCAAACCCCCGGTCAGCGGCCAACGCAATCACAAAAAACATTTTTCTTTCTTAAGGTTTGTATTATTTTTTTTTTCCATATATTTCTGTATCTTTTTTTTTTGTTTTTCTTGTTGAATTTTTTTGCCGGCCTGTCTTCATGTTTCGCTGTAGTTTTGTTAATGAAAGCCAAAAGCGAAATTAATGCGTGTGGCCAACGCCATCAGCAGCGCCCCCAGCTTATCACTGTCAAGCGATCTAAACTGGAACTGTGGACCACGTTGTTTTTGGGCCAAGTCAAACTAACCAGGCTGATCCCGTATGCTGGTGTTTAACTGAATTTATTTGCCAAATATCTATAGAAATTTATATGATTCGGCTTTTGGGAAATTTATGCGCCTGTCGCTTGGCCTTTTGTGTTTTCGACTGGGCATAGATTTTTAATAAGTGATAAACATTTGAAATGACAATTTTAAAGTCGATTAATTAATTAAATGGCAATTGAAAATGCCAGCGAAGCAGCCGAAAAAAACATGAAAACATGATGGGACAATAAAATACGCAAATTGATTGATTTTCGGTTTTAAGCCTCTCTATATTTATATATTTATATATTTTGATTTTGTTAGTGTTTTTATTGTTATGTTTTTTGTTTTTTGTTTCCGAAATTAATGTGAATATTTTGGAGAATTTGTTTATGGCCGGTTTGTTATCTTGAATAAGCAAAAATTCAATGGCTGTTCAGTTTAAAACTCTTGTTTAAATTATTGCTCTTTTTGGGTTTTGACATTTTCATGACACGATTCCGTGTTTAAAGATAACCAAGTTTAAGCAAATTAAATAGAATGCTGATTTGGCAATTATTCACACTGCAGGGGAGGTGTTATTTTCTGGCTTAAAATCGTATTTAATAAGTTAAATGTGATATATATTTGTTCTTTTCTGTTTATGGCTAAGTCTGGACAAATGATTATGCCCGATATCTGGCTTATTCAGGGTACAAAAAAATGTTAAACTAGAGAAAAAAACACAAATGAACATATTTAAGTGGAATATCTGAGCTGAAAACGTGAGATTTATTTGTTTTGTTTTTAACAGGTGGACTATAAAAAAAAAGGATAAAAACAAACAAGTGATAGTATTTGCTTTTAAATGATTAAACTTAAGTTTTAGAACAAAGAAAAGGTTAAGAATTAAAAGCATTTCCGGTAAATTTACAGGGTGGCCCATTTAGCGGTTGCTTTTTGAAATATCGATAATTCTGACTTTGACATTTGGAATGTTATTGTCAATATTTCAGTAGAAGGTTGGCTATTTACAAAATGGTTAAGTTTACGCTCGAAGAACATGGAGAAATATTAAAAACTTTCTTTCAGTTTTATAACGCAAATCTTTCGTGGGCCATTCTATAGAACCAATATTATAGCAGGCACACAAAAAGTTAATGAAATGTTATTGAAATTCATAAATCTTAAGAAAATAGTCAATTAGAAATTATATTTATATGTTAAATTTACCTATTTATATTTCGAATGTAAGTATTTTTGTCTCCTAAAGTAAGACTACAAGCGCCTTCTTAAGAAGCTGCATTTTCGTAAGCAGCTTATCATTTTTTAGGCTCAATATTGATTAGAACTGTTAACCCTAAAGCTTATATCCACTTTACGTTTTAAACAGAAAATATAAACATCCTTAAGATTTCTTAAATCAAAACCATAAACTTTAATATTTATAAATTACAACTCAATCTCCTCCATCCACCTATAAATAAACTTTTAATTCATATCACCCCCTTTAACGAGGCATTGAAAATGCCACTTAACTCCGCCGCAGTAAATTCCAATCACACGCCCAGCCAAACGCCCTCCCAAAACAATCATAATGGATTGAGAAAAAAAAGCCTTTAACTTTCGTATTATTCCGTTTCCCATGGACCGTCTTGTTATACGCGGATAGTTCAATAGTTTGAACTCTTTTTAATTGATCTTGATTAATCGCACACCACACACAGATACGAAAAAACCGAATACAGATGCCGCCCAAGGAGGCGGAAAGCAGGCTGCCGCCCCATATCGAATCGGAAGCAAAACCATTAATTACGCTTTAATTACCCGCCGAAAAAAAACTAAAACGCATGGGGTAAAAAACCTTAATAGTTTTCGCCTTATCAGCATAGAGTTTCGCTGGACCGGACTCCTAATTTCATTAGTTGAATGGCACAAAACTGTGGAAAAACCAACAAAGCAACGAAAACACCAACGAATGGCTACCAAACTACGCAAAACGTGCAGACGGAGTAACAACAAAAAAAAAACAACAAAGTAGAAAAAAAAAATTGTTAACAATTGTGAGAATAAATTGCTAAATAATTAAGTGGATCAACGGCCCGCGCGGACGGGGAGCCAAGCAGTTCGAGAGATCTCAGACTCCAAATTGCATATGATTAATTAAAGGAAATAAAATGCTGACGACGGCAGCAGCCACTAGAGAATGAGTAGCAGAAAAATACAAAATACAAAGATACAGATATATAGGAGACTATAGCGAGGAACGAGGAACCAAAAATCTTTTTCTTTAATTAATATTGAAGTGAAGCAAACTGAAGTTCAGTAGCGAACCGACAGAGCGGCAGAAACTGAAAACGGGCAAAGGGAATAAAAAAAAAAATAAAAAACAAAGACAGGAGGCGTTTTTCAACTCATTAACGTTCAAACAAATTCATTTGCATATCTCTACCTGCCCCAAATTAATATTCCATGGCTTCAACATTCTTCTTGACTTTTTTCCGTAAATTTGAAACGCTTAAGAAACGAGCTGAGAAATGGTCTCACACACAATTTGAACTGCAACACTGCTCAGTCAGTTTACCCACCCCCTCTTCTACTTCTTCTTTCTTTTTTTTTTTATTTCAGTTTCCTTTGTCTAAATGATTTTTATTAACATTTTTCGCTTTTTGCGTCAGGTATTCGAGTAGGGACACGCATTTGCTGTGTCACTGCAGTCGAGCGTGTCAGTGCTGGCAGCTTAGCAGGTTAGCTAACAATAAAAATGGTTATTTATAGGTTTGAGGGGTAAATATGAAAACTATGGATTACTAGCTATATTCAGAGATAAATACGATTTAGTTTTTAAACTCTTTCATTATGTTTTTTCTATAAAGTTAACAGTTTTACAAATTTAAATAAATATATAAGAGATCAGATCGAAATCAGAATTGTTAGCCGATGATGTTAGGAATACCAAATCAAACCTAAATTCTAAAAAAAATCCAATTTTAATAACTGTTAAATTGAGAAACTAAATAGTTTTAATATGTAATCTTACACTGTATTGCCTTTTTTAGCTATTTAAAGGACAAAACAACAATTATAGCTATTTTACCGCTACCTACTTATGTTAGCTACTTTCCTAGACCAATCTAGCTAGTCTCGTATACTCTCACAGCACCTCAGTAGATCGTAGAAGAAGAGAGGGAGAGTAGCAAAGGGAAAGACGCCGGCGCATACGAAACAACGGTGCCCAAAAGCCGAGAGCTGGGCGTCAACTGCATGCCATGCGTAAATGCCAAAAGCAGCGACCCTCGTCTTAACCCTCCAGTGCCCCTTTGTGGTGGAGTCTTATCTGCTTGTATTCATCTTGAAAATTGTTTCTAGTTGAAGTTTGCCTTTTAATTGTTAGGCGCAAACAGCCGACCGTCCGGCCGACTAAATTAAATTTATACCT